CACTCGTCATGCTCTGTCGAGGAGAGTAAGTTGTCGGATGCGAGGCAGGTGGCATCAACTCTTCACGATCTGGCTCACGAGCTTGCTCACGTCTGATACGCTCCAATTCGGCGGTTGCACGTCGTTGACCAGCCGTTGCACCACCGTCTCGATCGGGACGTGATCTCAGTTGCACCTGCAATCATGATCGATCTTAAGCTGAACTTCTTCAGTTTGGCAATTTTAAGATGAGATGAGAGCCATCAATTTTCAAGGCTACATTTCAGTGAGGTCAGCGATTTAAAAAAAAAACATTAACTAAATTTTATTCATTATTCTCTGATTTTTCAAGGAACAATACCATTTCCGGAAAGTTTTTCGCACCCAAAATAAATTTCATCAGGACACGAATGGAATAATGAATGCAGTCTGTACCTGCTGTTTTGGTACGGCTGCAGCTCGCTCAGGACTTCTGCGTTGTTGGGGTTGTTGTTGTTGTTGTTGCTGTTCCCAGTCATGAGCAGACTTCCTTTTATCCACTCGCACAATACCCATATCATCATCCATAACCGGTTGCTTACGAGACCTTGTTTGTTGCTGCGGTGCGTCGTCCATACGACCTCCAGCGCTTTCATCGTATCTTGGTGATCGTTGAGGTACCGAGTCTTCATTTCGTGACACTGGAGAGGATGTCTCTGATTGCCTTAAATTTCATGAGTGCATCAATTTTTTGAATATCTCTTAAATGAGCGATAACATTCTGCATAGAAATCAACGAAGAAACTCATTATCAAAAACAATTAGAATGCACATAGTCATATTCAAAAAAGCGAAAAATTCATCGCAAGAAGAATTCTGTTGATCTAAACAACTCTGAGAAAACAAATTCATTTGATTGGATCAATTTTATTTTGATTATCGCTACGTATATTAACGGAAAACTTCNTACGTCGGTTGAAGTGATGCGAGAATGTTGGCTTTTTTCGCAACTTGAATTTTTGGTTTTGCTTGCGCGGCTGCCGGATTCACTTCGGTTAGATTCGGTGGTGCATCTTTGCCCTCGATGAACTCTTCGGCAGTCATCGCCGGCACATGACTTCGAGTAGGTGGATACAGATCGGCCTGAAATTCTATTCTGCTTTCCCAATCGCATTCGCATCAACCGATTTTTAGTTTTTCTCAATGCCTCTGAATTTAACAAATGAAAATTTCTATTCGTGCTAAATTGCTTCCAACTGAATGAAACTTAACCTGGAATAGATCGGATTTTCGTGGAACGAAGAATTGCAATTCGTCCACAACGCCCTTAGTTGTAACTTTATAGATACGCGCACATTCGTTCTCATTCGAGTTTATACCCAACTTCGGCATAAATCCTATGCCACGTTGTGGTTCAGATGTCGTATAGGTGTTGATGTAATGTACAAACGGATACTCATTATTCACTTCGTAATAACGAATCGCACAATCGCCCTGCAATAACCACACCAAATCGCACAATTCCATCCATCAATCTTCCACAAATGTCGTCAAAATACACTAAACTGCATTGGTTTTGATAAAATTACATGAAGCGACCAACACGTAATATGCTCTACAAAGAAACATTGTTTGACAGAGTAAAAGTTGTCCAGTGACACCCAATTTTATTGCTGATAACCTTTAAAAGTCTAGGATTTCATGTGAATACTACGATGCCCGGACAGCCTTAACTACAGGCCAATCGGCATCACGGATTAATAAATAAGTAATCGACTTATTATTATTACTATTATTATTGTTAACTTCAATGGTTTCTGATCAAATATTCTGTACATTCAGTTGAACATTCAGTTCACACATTTCACCATGATAAATTAAGATCAAATAAATCAGTCTGTTCGAGAGAGTCTGTTGATAGTGCATTGAAAATATTCGAGTAAACACGAAACCTTTCCACACAAATAGATAAGTCCCGTATCTTCGTCGTAAAGAGGGAACAGCACACCATTGCTTGTATCCAATTCTTCTTGAATTATTGGTTCATCAAGTTTCTCCTAAATTTCATTCAGTTCTTCTATTTCGATGGCACCAATTGAAATCCAACTAATAGTAAATTTGTTAGTATCTAATGAACGAGCGATTTCTTCAATTAGAATCATCATGTAAGTGTCAATTTCATTCGAAGGACTGCATAATATGCAGTAGATAATTATCTGTCAAAATCAGCATTCATCAATTCAGCGAAACCATTAGTAAATAGAAATTATGAATTCAGCAAAATGAAATGCAAATTAACATTTAAAAAAAATTAAATTTCAAATGATGTTATTGACGATTTCAAGTTGCTTGCCTGATAACGTAGCGCATAAAGACGTTCCGAACGTTTCGTGAAGCCAGTTGTGAAGATACGTCCATCCTGAAGGAATATGGCACGTTGTGGTTTAACACCTTCGTGACCTTGACCTTGGAAGAGAACCTCACCCGAGTGCGAATCAATCACTCGAAGACGTTTGTCTTTACATGTCGTCACGAAACGACTTCCTGAATTTTATCTATGAAAATATGTCGTTTACTTGGTCGAGCCTTCATTTCTTCATAAGTTCACAAGAATTGAATATCATTGTTCTCGTGTCCAGCCTTAAACAGAACTCTTTCTTAAGATCAGGGCCTCATCAATCGAAAAGAAACTTTAACCACTCAGTATGAAATCGCTTGGTGCTCGAAGTCATTTGACTTTCAGAAGTTGAGCTCTTCGTAAAAGCGAGAAATCGAAGTAATTAGTCATGAAAACCTTTCACTATTCATTTCAAAGAATATAAAAGCGTGGAGATTGCGAGAGTTCATGAAATTCCTCAAAGGCACGTGCTATGCAAAATGCAGTCAATAGTTTCATTTTCACTTATAATTAGTCTTTTCACGATACAATCACACCAAATCATTAAAATGATCAAAGCTTGCTTAATTAAACAATAATACATTATCACAATATCATCATTATTTTCTTTTTTGGGATCAACATCATTCATGTGCAAAGTTCACGTCGGATGAAACCAAGGTAACCTATCTAATTTCTTTGAAATGTTATAGTCATCATGTATTATCGCTATTTATCACAGACGTCTTCGATGAGAATGAAAGAAAAAAGTGAAAAAAAAATTGCCAAAATATAGAGAAATTATTCACTGGTAAAGACGAACTAAAACAACTAACCGTCATAATTGAACGAAATTGACCAAATTTGATCTGGATGACCAGAAATCTCCAACAATGCCTCGCCAGTACCAACATTCCACATAAGCAACTTGTTTTCACCACCTTAATTCAGTTCGAATGCACTTGAATGTATGCAGTATAGAATATTATCAAATATTGCAAAGTTATATCCGAATCCAAATTATAAACACCATCCACTGATACATCCAAATATCCATACCCATACAAGATGCAAATATCCAATACCGATTATATCCTATATAGATATGGATATCCATTGTATCCGAATGATGAAAGATGCCCATTGAGCGAGATTGATAGAAAAGTTGTAATTAACACACCTGCTGTAATTAGGATGTTATTGGCTGTCGGATGCCATGCGAGAGTATTAACGCGTTTCTGATGTCCGTCCAGCTCAACAACTGGCTCTGATAAGGTACGTATCAATCCATTTGGAGGGATTAACCAAACCTTCAATGAATAATTTTCCATTTCTTATTGTTGGATTTGTCAGCAATCTTTAGATAAAATAATGCGCACTTTATTTACTGAAATATATAATGACTAAAAAGATTCTCACCTAATACGTTAAGCTCCTTAAATTGACCGTTTTAACTATCACTAATCAGTCGTTTTGAATAGTTTATGTGTATTTTATAAATTTCGTATAAATTTTAAACTGTACATCAAACGCACCCACTATCAATGCTTATAATGAAATAATGAATAAACGAATAATGGTTACTGTACTTTGGCTGTAGCATCCTCAGAACAACTTGCAATAACGTTATCATTGAATGGATTCCAGACCACTTCTAAGCAAGGTGCCCGATGCGCATCAACATACGGATGATCCTTATCAATACGACCCGTCTGCAAACTTGACTCTGTTAAAGTTTTTTTCTCAATTATCTGAGAATTTTTATTTCCACTTTGCATGTTTACATGCTCAAGGTGTTGAATGTATCAAACGTGTATTGAATGTATCTGGATTTGATGATAAACTTTCAAAATCATTGCATGATCTATTTATCAACTTTGTAACGTTATTTATTTCTATCGACTTTGACTTTAATTTCCACGATAAATTTATTCGTTAATTTATTCATTTTCAACTTCGGATTTCAGTTATCTTTTATTTTTTTTAAACTTTTACACTGATAAACTCACGACTTCATCACAGAGTGATCATAAATAGTTCATGTAGAATCAGTTTCACATCTCACTTATACGGTGAATTATTATTGCATGGAACATTCTGTCAGTTCTTATTCGGTAATCATTTCAATGCATAAATTTTTCATCAACAATTTTCTTTTTCTCATC